ATCACTATACATATACTTCATAAACATTATTATGGGATCAGTTTTCATTTTCTTTACAATTTTTTTATTTGTTAGTGATTTTTTTTTTTTATAAATATACGACCATGGTTGGATTATTTTCAATATTTTTACAATATGATTATATATATACTCGAAACCAGAATAAAATGTAATGGAATATCGTTGTCTAAGGAGCCTAGCTGTTTGGTAATTTTGGTCTGATTAGTTTGAGATTGTGGTATCATCGATGCTTTATATAATTAAAGTTTAATATCAATGTTAATTATTATAAGAAATCGTTTTATACTATTGAGTTCAATCTGATAGTTAATATATTCATGGTAAAATAATGAAACACATAAGATCATCACGCTTTATTATGATTATATATATACCATCCTTTACATACGATCGAGATTGAATTTATGATTCATGCTTTATTGCTTAATTAACGATTTTGTTGAAGTGACATCCTCAGATGTTTTACTTAGGTGGCGTGCTCACAGGTTTTGCAGAGGTAGCAACAACAGTTTTACTAGTTGATGCAGAATTGACAACGCTGCTTGCGCTAATGAATATGAGAAAACATTATTATTATGAAAAATAATGGGCTAATAATTTTTCTTTATTTAAAAAGAAAAGAAGAAGACTCACTTTGTAGTAAAAATGAATTTGGTATCACTCCAATATAATTTGATGTCATCGCCTGTTTTAAGTCCTCTTGCTTCTCTTAGCGATTTCCATCCCTGTCCGATAGCACAACGGCTGTTGTTTGCGTTAAGGTTTACCCAATATGAATTGGTATTATCTAAAATTTCCACTTGAACACCATTTCGAGGCATTGTAATTCCAAATTTCCTTAATATGTTATCGATTTTCGCTTTTGGTAGATATAAATAACCATGATTAGAAGTATCCGCGTCTGTTAACTTCTTTTCAATCGTCAGATTTGGATCCATCTTATCTTTGACGGTTGAAGTTTTGAGTAGTTTGAATATCTCAACACATATATTTATATATAGTTCTCGCCCAAAATTGGTTTGTTGTCTAATTTTTTTTTTTAAATAGTATTAATGCTTCTTAATAACAACTCTCCAAATTTAATAACTTTTATTGGTACATTTTCTAAGTCAGCATCTTTTTTTTTTTTGTCAAAAGTTTACAACTTTATAGGTTAGATGAATTATTAATCTTGTTATGTTAAATTGTATTTAAAACAACCTTGTTTTTTAGCATTTTAAACAAAAATTTCTTCCCAAATATCTACGTTAAATCAATTACAAGATCTAATAAACATAGATTCTATTCATAACAGTCTAAAATTGCGCATTTAGTACATTATATTCATGACATGTATATATCTTTAGTTCTTACAATAACTCTTATCTGTTTTAACATTTATTTTATTTTATTATTAATCACTATTAATAACAAAAAAATCAGTAATTAATACACAATGTGTTATCACTATTAGACAAATCCAAATTCAAAGATACACGACATATTTACTGTTCAATTCACAAGTTTTCGCACTAGGTTTAAAATATCGACGAAAAAAATATTAAAATTAACATGTAATAATGGAGTTATCACATTAAACAAAATGATTATAAATATACAGTCTACCCAAAGTCGACTTATTGAACCAACTCGATATGTCCGAGTTGACTCGAACGAAAAATTTCAATAGAACTTTTCTGAAAAGAGCTAGAAATAAAACCTACTATTGTTTTGGATATAAATATGAAAATAACTTACCATGATAAGGAGATGATTGTCATAATATGTTTCACATAAGAGCAATTCTCTTGACTCGAACATGCCTGCAAATTTGAAGTGAACACCGCTTAAGCAGGATAATAATATTGAATTTAACTTTCCTAGACCAAGCATATACGACATCTCCAACGATGGACATAGTCTCCCTAAC